CGACAAGGAGTTTAGGGTCTCCAGCCCCTCTGTCCCGCAGCCATGTGGCCGGCTCCTCGCAGTCCCCCCACCCGCAAAAGCGAGTTTCCCCACGGGGGAAGTCCCTCCGTGGGGTTCCCTTCCCTTCCAATCTGTGGGGTTCCCCCGTCCGTCCGTGGGGTTTCCCCCCCCTTCCCCGTCCCAGTTCTCTCCCCCCAGGGCTGAAATGTGATACAGGAGGGAGTGGGGGGGCAGCCGTGCCTGCGACTGTGCTGCCATTCGGGGGAAAACAAAGAGGCTGCCCAAGAAACTAGACCTCATGAGGTCCTCATGAGGTCCTCGAAAGCTGGGAAGGGCCGGGTTGCTCTTCCCAGTTCGATCCTGCTCCATCAGGTGTCCCTGGGGGGCACTGGAAGAGGCAGGCTCCTGTGCCTGGCACAAGGCCACCAGGGATGCAAGCACAGCGGGTGTGTAAATCACTAACGGGTGTGTAAATCACTAGCGGGTGTGTAACCGTGCCGCAGCCACAGGAAAGGGTGCTACGGGCACCTCCACGTCCACAGTGTCCCCAGTTCTGGTTGCTATCCATCACAACCAGTCTACTTTTTGTAGTGGTCTTCATGTTTGGGTTGGTTTTGGGTTTGGGGTTTTTTTTGGAGGGAGGCGTTGCACTGGCTACTGATTTTTATATTAAGAAAAAGCTTCAAAAAAAAAAACAAACCCTTGTTGCTAGCAGCTTTTAAATATAACACCCAGAGTCACCAGGGGAACTCCCACTCTAAACCGGGCATGGTGGTGTACACGGCTGCTCCTTGAGATAGCAGCAGCAGTGACAGCTGGCAGCAGAGCAAGGCTGTTTTTCCAGGAGATGCCAAGTCCCAGGAGCAGCGCCGGGAAGTCTCATCCCGTCCAGCTTGAGCTGGCTGTCTTCCTCTTACAACTCGGAAAGTTGCCATTTTTTTGTGTTCCTCATGAGCCATATACCAAGGGTCCAGAGAAAACTGGGGGGAAGCGAAGTACCACCTTTTTTCCAGTTCCACATGAAGATGGAGGGAGTGTCTGACCCACATGTGGCCCAAAGCTTAAAGAATACAAGTAGAGCACGGCTCCTGTGAAACTCAGCTGGGGGTATTTTGGCTGCAGCAGGAGCCCCGTCTCAGAAAGTGTCAGGATTTCTGCAGCTGTATGAGGTGCCAGGTACAGTTTTGGAACAGTAGGACAGAGGATTACAGCTATTTTATATCATCAAATGACACTAAAAGAACTAGTGAAAGGGAAAATACATATTTTGAATTTTGGACTCACCAGAACCATAATTTGATGCCAAAGCAGCTCTAAAAGCAGAAGAAATAGTATGGTTTATTTAGTTTATTTATCTTGTTTGCTATTTTCATGCACTTCCTCATTTCTCTGGGAATGTAAAGAGAAATGGAAGCTGCTTACAGAGAGCCAGACGATGAAACTTCTCGAGACAAGCATGTCAAAGCTGGAATGACAGAAAAGAAAACTTGTAGGATATATGTCAGGCCTTAATAACGTGGGGCCTCGGCCAAAGCTGAAGCCGCAGCAAGCACAAACAAAACCAAAATAATTTGCCCATGCCATATGCTATACTTCAAAATACCCTTAGAAATGTCTCTGAAAAATAAGCTTATGCAGGATTTGCCTGCCCACTCACATGAAGCTAATGACTCATGAGCCGGCGACCGTCCTTCACTGCCCACTTGCCAAGTGCTGTAATGCATGTGGAGTACATGACTCATGCGCCAGCCAACATTGCATCCTACATCCTAGCTAGTGTACAGAGCAAGGAGTGTGTTTTTGTAGAAAACATCCCCTTTTTCTTTCTCCCTGGAAACAACCAAGGGTTTTGAATCAGTGTCCCAAGAAGAGGTGGCACAGACCGGTGCCACACTAATACAACCACGTTCTTACCCCGTAGAAAAGGCTGAGTTTGCAAATGGCTAAATCATGCCTTCCCAGGGATCTCTGAAAGTCTTCACTCTTCTTTCTCTATTTTAAACCAACCCGGATGTTTATGAGCATGTGTTTTAAGCCACCTGGTAAGAGCATTCAGAAATGGCCAGAGATGCTAGTTGTAACCTGAATAATTCAAAAAGTTCTGACATGACTCTCAAACATCATTTGAGCACCAGCTCATCTCTTCTCTGCTTCATGAACATCCATCCTCCAATTATGACAATCTTTGTGCTTCATCCTACCAGCTGGACAGACCACTGTCAAGGCAGGCATCCCTCTTAGAGACTGAGGGTGTACTTTCTCTGATAAGGGGTCTTCTTCTACATCAGCAATGTCACCCTGTCTGCACACTCGCCTTCCAAGTCTACTTCCCATCAACATTCACTACACTCAAATCTGCTCTCCCAGAGCTTTACAACACTTCTCTGAGTGTTGCAGTTAATGTTAGAGACGTGGCTTAAGATGTTTCTGGTGCCTGAATTTTCCTTATGTACCTGAGAGCGATCCAGAGCCAAATCACCTAAACTTCTAGGTGTCTCCATCTCAGAATATCATGATTGTCCTGCAAGTTCCCACAGTGGCTGCACGTGTTGTGAGCACAACACTGTGACCTTCCAGCCTGGGGAGCGATCCAGGCACCTCATCTTCTGCTCGGTTGCAATCTAGATTTAAGCAGAAAGGCCCTTCAATTCTGCCTGCATCCCTAAGGGCGCTGATCCAGCGTGCCTTCTCCCAGCATTTACCCATAACACTGAGTGCATGGGAGGAGAAGGAACTGTTGGCACTGATTTCATTACAGAGAACAGGAAAAGTGCAGTTGCTGCATAATAGCTGAGCGATTAGAGCACTTGCCCAACAGTGGGAGAGCTGGACCTTTCTCAAAGAACTGAAGCCATTGCATTCTTATCCCAGGAAAGTTTCCTAACCGCTGCCCTTCACCAGGGTCAAGGAAAGAAACAATCTCCAAGTGAGCCACTGTGCAGCCAGGAATGCAAGAGACAGAGGTCAAAGAGAACCAAAAAGGGACGCTGGCCAATTGGGAACAGCACGCATCTAAGGAAGGGAGAAGATAATCTAAGAAAAGGAGATTTGGGATGCTAGTTCATTTTTTTTGTTTCCATTGGAAGAAAAAATGGAAAGCAAATTACAAAATTCAAAATGTTCAGGGGAAAACTGCAATCACAGAAGAAACCAGAAACAGAAGGGTTTCCCCACAAATAAACTTCTATTTCTTAGAAACTTTGTCATTAAGCTTAAGCTACATATTGTTTGCCTTTGTAATGTTTTTTATAATTCTGGTGTGTAGTCACAACGTAAGGGTAAAATAGCAATCAAAACGTATTTCACTCTTAAGATCTGTGCCATGCGAGCAATATCCTGTGCAATGGCATATGGCTTTTACGGCATTACATGTTCTGTCATTTCTTTCCTTTTTTGAAACAGGATCTTTACATTTGCTGCATACCACAAGATCAACTTGCGTTTCTGTGTGCTCCCTGATGGACTCGGAGGCCTCCCTAGGGTGAAATGCTTCTCCAGAGTTGGGTGACAGCCAAGTTTATTAATTTCAACAAAGCTGCAGTGATTCATGGTAATGCATTATTTACTGCTGCCGTAGTGTCTAGGAGCATTAGGCATGGCTCAGGCCCACACTTTACCTTACCGGAAAAGTAAAATTTATGCCCAAAGACTTCAAATGAGAAGTCTGACA